GTTGCGAGGGAGTTCGGGGCGCGGTTTCACGTGGACGCGGCGTGTGCGGGGAGCGCTGGGATTTGCCCTGAGTTCAGGCGGTTCTTTGATGGTCTGGAGCGGCTGATTCCTTTAGCTTCAATACGCATAAATGGCTGCTCGTAATAATAATTTTTAAATCTTGCTCAAACCATTATTGACTTATGTCTTATGACTACATATTTAGAGATTTTAAAAAGACTCTTTGTTCGTGAATAGCTCGTGTTCGGCTCGTTAAATAAACAAGCCGAACACAAATACATTTTTTAAGCTCGAAATATAAACGAGCCAAACACGCTCTTTTACACCCCTACATGTTATCACTCTATAAATATCAACTTAACACAAGTTCATGCATTGCGGCAAAGTAGAAGGAAACCAAGAAAAAATTCGATCTTGTCCCCTTTCCATTTCCCCAGAGCTTCGGAAAATGGGCAGTCTTCCCACCGAACCATTCCTGCCACTAGACCCTGACCACTTCACCACAGAATCCAAAGCCGTCGTCGACTTCATCGCCGACTACTACCGCCAAATAGAACTCTTCCCTGTTCTCAGCCAAGTAAAGCCGGGCTATCTCCATGACCGCATTCCAAACACACCCCCAATTCTCTCCGAACCCATCACCACAATCCTCCACGACATCAAAACAGTCATCTTTCCCGGACTAACCCACTGGCAAAGCACCAATTTTTATGGCTACTTCCAAGCCAATGTCAGCACTCCCGGTTTCGCCTGAGAGATGCTCTGTTCCGGCCTCAACGTCGTCGGCTTCACCTGGATCGCTTCCCCTGCCGCTACTGAACTCGAAACCATCGTCATGGACTGGATGGCCAAGATGCTCAAACTTCCACCAACCTTCCTTTCCGGACACCTCGGCGGCGGCGGCGTTATCCACGGCAGCACGTCCGAAGCGGTGCTCTGCACCCTCGCCGCGGCTAGAGATAACGCTTTGAGCAAGTGCGAGGGCGAAGGGATCACAAAGCTGACGGTATATGTCTCTGATCAGACACATTTTACGGCTCAGAAGGCGGCGAAGTTGGTCGGAATCCCGGCGCGGAACTTGCGGGTGATATCAACCTGCGGGGAGACAGGGTATGCGTTGACGGCGGAGAGTGTGAGGGCGGCCATGGATTCTGACCTGGCGGCGGGGATGGTGCCGTTGTATTTGTGTGGCACGGTGGGGACGACGGCTGTGGCGGCGGTGGATCCCATAAGTGTGATCGGCTTGGTTGCGAGGGAGTTCGGGGCGTGGTTTCACGTGGACGCGGCGTGTGCGGGGAGCGCTGGGATTTGCCCTGAGTTCAGGCGGTTCTTTGATGGTCTGGAGCGGCTGATTCCTTTAGCTTCAATACGCATAAATGGCTGCTCGTGAACATGGACTGTTGTTGCCTTTGGGTGAGTTTTATAATTAATGCATTTGTTGGGATCAATTTGAATATGATGAAGATCAAGTTAAATCAAGTGAATGCTTTAATGTCAATCTCAGGTAAGATGTGCCGCGAAACTCGTAGACTCGTTATCGATCAAGTCGGATATATTGACAAACAGTGCAAGCGAAGATGGCGGTGTGATCGACTACAAAGATTGGCAGATCGCACTGAGTCGTAGGTTTCGTGCAATAAAGCTTTGGGTAGTCATCAGACGATTTGGTGTGGCTAACCTGATGGAGCATGTTAGGAGCGATGTGGAGATGGCCAAGCATTTTGAGAGGCTTGTTGCGGAGGATGAGAGGTTCGAGGTGGTTGTACCGAGGAGATTCGCGCTCGTTTGTTTTAAATTGAGGCATGTGGGAGAAGATATTGATGAGGATGGGGGGAGGAAATGTTGGGAGATGAACAGGAGGTTGCTTGATTCGGTGAACGAAAGTGGGCGGGCATTCATGACCCATGCGGTTGTTGGCGGGCAATTTGTGCTGCGTTTTGCGGTTGGCACCACGTTGACGGAGAAACGGCATGTGGAGGAGACATGGAGGTTCATTCAGGAGAAGGCCAGTGAGTTGTTAATGATGACAAAGGACTTGGGTGGTTATAATCTCAAAACACTCCAAGTTTAAAGATCATTCTACAAATTCAAATCATGTTATGAGACAGCTCACTTATCATTAAAGAGAAATAATAATTTAAAATGAAATCAAATTATAAAAAAAATATTAAAAAATGGATTTAATATTATTAATGATGGGTCATTAATAGATTTTCAAATCAATTATGACTTATATCGCAAGTTGGCACTACAGCCACCGTCAACAATATTCGTAGTAGACTACAGCCTTCATAGCAATCAGCTATGGTTCTTACAACTTGTTATCATTAAGAACTATATTCATTTAGCCAAACTACGACTATTATTGATGAACTGTTGTTATACATTTACAATGATCATATTTGTAACTCTATTTTTGAATCCTAATTCAAGAGAAGAGTGAACTCGTGTAAATAGAATATTTCAACTAGGTTAGACAGCTCGGGTTTTCCCCTTCCTATGATTTTCCACATAAAAATCAAGGTATCTTCTCCTACTTAATTCTCTTTAAGAACCTGAGTTTTGTTGGATTTTCATTCAATGTTAAGACTATAATTCTTTTCTCTATTACTATGAACCTTTAGGCATGCATCAATTTAGCACTGTCTAGGGGAACAAATTCCCCATTGGCACTGTCATCAACTATGAGACATCGAGTATGTGCTTCAATTTTTAATGATACACATCATCCAACTGGAAAAAAAAAACCTCCTTTACACCTCTTGAAGATCATTTCTTTGTGCTCTTTGATGTGAGCGCAGTCTAAGGCATGATTGTGGTAGCGTAATTTTCCCGCATCTTATTCAGACACAAAATCTATCAAAATAATTTATATACAGGGAGCCCTTCACTGTAGTTTCAAGAGATTCTTTGCATTAATGTCCAGGCACGACTGTAATAGGATAGTCATCATACGTCTCGTTCAGATATCAAGTTTGCTAAAAGCATTTTTAGGTTAGGGCAACCTTCGATGCAGCATCAAAAAAATTATTCATGTTAATGTCCTAGACATAAAAGTGGATAAGTGTTCAAAGATTTCAACGAGGACGCGATGGATTCATCTCAGCCAAAGAGTTGTCCGGAAAAGGATTTCGTTAGGCGCGAGAGTGAAGGGAATGCGGTGTACTTCCTTTCCAATTTGAGTGGACTTAGGCTCTATTTGGCGCAGCTGCAGCTGCACTGCCCTAGGAAGCTGCTGCGGGGAAACTGACTGTCTGTTTGGTGTAGCTGTGTGAAAACAGCTGTGGGGCAGCTATTTCCGAAAAAATGATCATGTTGCCCCTGTTTGTTAAAACTGTTTAAAAGAAGACTGTAACAGCTACATTTTTTAAACTTCTGAAACAGAAATTCATTTCTAAACAGAATAGAAAGTTCATATACCCTCATTTCTAAAAGAAGTCTAAAGCTTCCCTTTAACTCAACTCATCTAAGCTCCTCCCTCAAATATATTTAGAGAAATTCACATACATACCACACAATTTTTATGTTTCATAAAAAAAAAAAACATAGCAAAAGTAACAAAGACAATCAAAACAAACTTTCTTTACATAACATCACAGATAAAATAATCAAAATTTAAAAGAATACAAAATATTGTTTGGTAGCCCAAAACTGTGACAAATTCCATTACAATTCAACAAAAAGTTAAGCTTAACTATAAAATTAAATTGAAATTGTCAAGTCGTGGAAAATTCAATGACAACAAATTGATATATGTGGAGAAGAACAAGGCTTGGATATCAAAGCTTCCATCTCATCTACTTGGGACAAACCTTCATGTCAGTACTATTAATAAATCAGTCACAACTTTGTGAGAATCCTACCCACCAAACTTCTAACTGCCACAAAGAAAAATCAACGCGAGTTAAGAATCAAAATTCTTAGAACAGAATAATAATAGAAAAACCTCAGCTTCATACCGGGATCCAATGGCATGCATCAGCAGTGGTATGTATGTAAATGCAGTGGTATGTTTGCAAATGATCATGTTTCAGCTCCATATAACAAAAATAATTGAGTACAGCTCGGGCAAGTTATAAATATAGCACTACAAACATTGATAATTACAAAGCAAGCACTCTTGTTCATTGAAGTGTTATGGAATTATTTCTGCATTGGGATATTTAAAATAGGGTGATTTCATAGAACTCTGATTATAAATACACTTTCATTCAGAATGTCATATAATCTTTTTCTTCCCTTTCCCCAGGCTGCTCTATGTTTTGGTCTTCCTGTAGCTCACGGGAAGGGGCTTATGAGATGGGACAATTAATGATACATGTTTTATATATCTTTACATGTATATAAATATGAATAATTATATAACGTTATATATAATTTTCTTAAAGCACATCACCACATAACAATTGATGCTTGCCTTTCTACTTTCCCCTAATGTTGCTATAGCGCATGAACAAAAAAATTAAATAAAAATTTTTGGTTTAATTAAAACTGATATTGATTCCATAATATTCTGATCTTAACCTCAATCATTTCTCACAATCTCACTCAACTGTCAAAGTACAAGATAAAACCCATAATTTTCAACTTACTGGTATGGTTCATCTTATGACTGCTCAACCTAGTAGTAGCAGCCCAAAACAACATAAAAAATGTAGAATATAAGTGATTCTGCTTCATCACAAATTTAGGATATTCAAAAATTCATTTCTCTTTTAACCCCTCCAATTTAAACATAAAAATCATCTTTCTAATCAGATTTTAAACAGAAAGAATGCTGTAAAAGACACCACTCAAATCAGATTTTAAACTAAACTTTGCTTTTTTACATTTACACCATTCAAATCAAATTTGAATTCAACGGAACAAGAATTCTGAACTTAAATATTGTGTGGTATGTAAAATAAAGCAACAGTAAAATTAACTTTATATAAGAATTTTGTGCTCTAAAATATATAAGAATTATGTGCTCTAAAACATATGTAAATATATAAGAATTTTGTGCTATGTATCTAAAGCTTCGGAATCAACTTTATTATAAAACAAAAGCATGTAGTTAAAACTGTTTACTAACAGGAAATAGAAGGCAGCAGTAAAATTAACTTTATTATAAATGCAAATTGTTGAACTTAAAACTATTTACAACCAGGAAACATTGGTTGGAAACATATGTAAATATATTTGATCGTCAAATCTTTCCTGGCCTGTTGTAACATCAAAAACATATGTAAATATATAAGATTTCTATGTTATTTATGTAAATCTTGGGAATTTTGTGCTGTATATGTAAATTTAATCAGAAATATTTCTTACATTTAGGTGTGAGAAATGTAAACTCATGCATAAAGATCTTCTGCTAAAATGCTAACTACTTTCAGCATTATCTTTTGTGCTAAAAAAATACTGCAAGATATTGCAGTATCAAAAAAAGTAGCTCAATGACTTTCATATAGTTCCCAGGTCTAAAACTAAAAAAAAGAAAACAATGGAATAGATAAATATGAAGTTGAATAAAAATCTGTGTAGCAATATTTTTAATGATATTCAACTAATAAATTCTCAAATTCTTCATTCATAGGCATATTATCTCATCAGTAATTCATTCCCTCGGCTCTGTCATCTCGCTTGCACCTTCCCCATCTACAGTGAAAGCAATGGAAGCCTCTGTCTCTTCTTCTGTGAAAGACTGACCTAGCCGATATTCAAATGCTTCCGAAGGCACATTTTCTTCATCCTCTTCGGCCAAATGGAAGTCGATATCGCTACGGGAATGATGTCATCTTATGTAATTATGAAGAGTCATTGTAGCAAAGACAATCTGTACCTGCTTCGAAAAATTGTAGAGGGGCATATCACGGAGGTACAAGAGAGTTCACAAACATAACTCTAGAAAGAAAAAAATAGATAATGCAGTGTAAATGTTCTAGTGATGAAAAATATAAAAAATATCAATTGTTCAAACGATTATAAAAACGTCGAATATATGCCACTTTGCAGGTGACAGGCATCAGCACAAAGAAATCCCTATGGACCGGGTCCTCTAGCAATTCTGCTGCGAACAGATACAACTCTTCATCTGCATAAATTTTGGATGTAGCACTTAGGATTTCAAGTGCCTCCGCGATAGTGCTTGAATGAGAAGCCTGACATTCTGGTTTGAAACAAAAAACCGTCTCGGATAGCTCGTTTCTGAGGGAAGAAGCACCTGATTTTCCAAAAACTCAAGATAGGTACAGTGATATGTTGCAGTCACGAAAGCTTATCCATGAGCTTTTTTTTAAGAATCCAGGTGGATCTGTGGAAGATCTGATCGTTGGCCGATAGTGAGAACGATTCTGTTGTTTTTCTGTTGTTGCAGTTATATCTGTTGTTAGGGAGTTCTATGCAAACCTCCTTGAAGCTGAAGATGATAGAGTCATGGTTCGAGGAAAGTTGGTACATTTTTTATCAGAGGTAATCAATTTGTTCTACCATTTACCACCAAATACTTTATATTTTTTATGCAAATTATAGTCCGACTGAGACGGAGCTAGATGAGATTATTTCTTATTTGACTGTTGGAAGAGGACTCTCGAAGATCACAAATGAGAGGAGAGTCAAATTTTCCACGCCAAAGTTAAGTGCACCTTCGAAGGCATGACACTATTTTATTTCTGTCCGTCTATTACCTACAAATCATCTTAGCGAAGTTACTAGAGAGAGAGAGTGATGTTAAATTAATTTATCTAGGAAGGAAAGCTCATCAACATATAAGCTTTGATATATCAGACTATCATCAATTCTGCCACTATCGTTACTACTGCAAGACTGAGATTTGTTTCCTTGATCTTTTCTTTATGTGAGCAAGCTAGAGTAAGATATAATATATGGAAGGAAGTATTGTTGCCTTTGAAGCCTATTACAAAGGTGAATGTGAAGACTTATTCTGAACATTCTATTTTTGGCTGGAGAGGAGGATTTTCAAGGAGCAATGGAATGGAAACGTTTGCTGCTTCTACATCTAGACCATCTACCTCACGTGCTTCTACTTCTATAGGTGAGTCTACTGAGACCCAAGATCATTTATTACAGAGGATGATGGACAATATTAATTATACCGCTGATAAAGTTCAGAATTTA